AGGGGTGTCGCGGGCCTCTCTTCTCTCCCACACGGTCTTGGGCACCTGGACCTTCACGTTGCCCACGGTGGAAGTCCTCGTTGCACAACCGAGAAACAGCTAGTAGTATATGTTGTTGTTCCGGCAGGAATGCCAGGTACGCGTAACAGAAGTCCGAATAAGTGAGGTTTTGGCGTTTTGTTGGTCCCCTTGGTGTTTTCTTCAGAATGCTTGCGGTTGTGTACTGGGTTTTGGCGCATCCCGCGTTTGGCTCTGCTGAATTCTGCCGCAATGTGAAATTGCGTCTCATCTGGTGTGGTGTCTGATTTAAGGATGAATCGTCCCATTTGTCCTACGAAAAATGAACAAGACCCGAATTCCGACCGTTCCCCTCCCAAGTGAAAGGAGGAGGGGAAGAGAGAAGGGAGCGTGCAAAAATCCGGCACCTCCCCCCCCAGCCCCCTTTCCTCCCTCTCTCTTTTTTTCCTTTATCTCTTTGTTTCTTTCCCTTCCTCTCTCTTTTCGTTACCTCCTCTCTTTCTTCTTTCCCTTCATCCCCCTTGCTTTTGGGGTATGAGTGCAGCTTGAGACAGAAAAGTATGTATCACTCGAACCCCTAGGGGAGGGGACGACTTTTTGCCCCGCTTTCCATGACTCTGGCAAGTATCACCCTCTCATCTTCTCTATTTTTACCTTCTGTGCAAACGGCTCCGATCTGACGCCGGAGCAGTTGTGGCACAGGTGGTTTACATGGTTTCGAGAGAGTGATGTTTGCCAGAGTCTCGGGAAGTACTGTAGGACTACGTCCCTCCCCTAGGGGACCGAGTGTTGCTCCTTGCGTTGTCTCGAGTGGTACTTACCTCTTCCCCCAAAGCAAGGGGGGGCAGCAGAAGGGAAAGGGAAGAGAGAAGGGGATTGTTGGTGGAGGAGATGCTGGTTTTTGTGCAATCTATTCCCCTTCTCTCTCAACTGGCAGGCGCACGGTCGGTTTGTCTGTTTTTTCCTTTTTGTACAGGACAAATCGAACGATTCATTCACTCACCTCTGATTACGTACCCTATCTCTGACCGAGTCCGTTACCGTGATTTAGTTCACTGTCCACCAGCGGAGGTATTTAGAGCTAAGCGACCGTATGGTATCAGTTACCAAGTTTTAGCCTCAGGAAGGAACGGCCCCACCCCGTTGCAAAACCGAAACGCTTGTTTACTCAACACGGCAACGACGAGGAGAGGGATGGAATGAATCATGTACTGCTATGAGCTGTGTATCGTGCATCGAGGAATATATTCTGCGGTAATCCGTTTCCACTATCATGTGTTGATATAGTGTATTCCTCTTCAGAACAGAGTGAGCGCCAGAAAACTCGAAAACTTAACGATGGATTTTCGGCGAACCAGAAGGGGGCGGGGACAACGGCATGCGTCGGTTGATCTGCTATGTTGCTGTTCACCTTGGCCATGCGCGAATCTGCTCGCCTCGAACAGAAAGGTTTTTCGTCGCCGCCAATCAAAATCTTTGTCGAACGCCAATCAGAATTGCCCTTCCCGACTCTGAGTCTAAAGCCCGAAGTAGTGGTGATGTGATGTGATGTGATGTGATGTAACCGCCTACCAGCGGAACTGGTATTTTTTCTCGTCTCTTGGTTGCATGTGCATGTGGCGAGGAAGACTCTGTGTCGACCAGGGAGAATGGCAAACTCTTCAGTGTCTTTCTCTCGTTTTTTTCGCGTGTTCTGTATGTGTCCATCCCCTGCTTCCGTTCTTACACACACCTCCTTAAAACCAGTGCTCTTCTTGTCGACCCACACACAACAGCAACAATGCTCAAGTCGAGGGATGCTTGTGGATGTGTCATCCTCTTGTCCTCTTGCCAGAAAATGAAAATGTTAGTAGTATTGTCGTCGTTCTGCCACCATCACCACGTGGTACGCTCACAGGACCAGCTGAAGGTCGCATTGGATATGACCGTCTGTGTGCGGCGATGGACACGACCAGCTGAAGGTGGCATTGGTTATGACCAGCAGCTTACGTACATGGCGTTGGAATACCATCTCTGTGTGGCAGTGGAAAACCGGCTCTGTGTGGCGGTGGAGGACCAGCTGTATGTGGCGTTGGATATGACCATCTGTGTGATGCATTGGATGCCGTCCGTGCGTGTTTTCCGTCGTGCGTGGTTGTTCCAGGTACATCGAGATCTTCCAGTCCAAGCGCATGGACTACTACTCGGCCGTGGTCGGACAGCTGCAGTCGCAGGTGTGTTTGTTTGCGACGGCTTTCTTTTTGGTCTTTTTCCCGACAAGGCGTCATTCCGAGTTTTTTTTTACCGATGTGTTGCTTTTTCGCGTCTGTCTGTTTTACCGTCGACTTTGGCCGGACGCCTATTGTCATGCTTGTCTGTTGACAATGCCGCCGCAGACCCGTGAACCGTTCCGAGAAACCACGCTGAACCCCCCCCCCCGCCCGCCCGCCCTTGAAAGCTTTGGTGCGTCACCCCCAGCAGCAGCCGACCCGGCTAAGACAGGGTGTTCTTGCTCTTGTGCAACTGTTGCCCCCACCTTAAGAACGCTCATGTTTTTTTTTTTGAAGACAGGGTGCTTAAAGCGGGGACGTGTCCTCAATCAACACTATACCGTCCTAACCTTTTTTTGTTGCATTCTGCGGGGCACCTTTTTCTTCTGAACATGAAGAATGCCGTCGGGGATGACGATTGTACGCGCCAAAGCCCGACTCTCTCTCTCATGTATAGACGATCGTCACGCCACCGTCACCACCGTATCCGCCTGTCTTCGGTTGTGTGCCTACGATGTGCGCAGAACATGGGCGGCATGCAGAGGCAGGGAGGCGGGGGCATGGGCCACGGGTCAATGGGGGGAGGGGGCGCGGGGGGTCTCGGCCCCGACGGCATGGCCATGCCCGTGGTCCACACGGGGGTGATCCGTATGCGAGGTCTCCCTTTCTCGGCTACAAAGCAAGACGTCCTCAACTTTTTCCAAGGTGCCGGCCTCGCTCGAGCTAGCTTTGCTATGGTAGCGTCATGGCTGTATACTCTTGACCGAAGTTGGAGGAGATTGTTCTCGGAGAGCTAGCGATAGTTGCTGTACATTCTTTGCACCGGGCGGAGAGGGCTTTTGATGGGAGGTTTTGACGGGAGGGTTTCTCTTAGATACAAGCACGTTGTGCTGGTCTGTGTGTTCTCTTTTATTGGTTGGACTATTTGAGTGTTTCGCTGTTATTTTCTGCCTGTTCTCCATGTGACATCCTGCGGTTGTGCATGATTAACACTAGGGCCCCTTCCAGCTCTTCTTTTCTGTTCAAATGTTTTTTGACGAACGCTCTTGCGGCAACCGTCGTTTCGGTTCTCTCTGCTTTCCTGCAACGCCCTCACCGCACGTGCTTGTGCACGTTTCTAGCCCAGTTTACAAACGCGCGGATACAACGGTGTGAATGATGCATGGCGCGGCGTGGCGTGTTTGATTTCGTGGCGCGATTACCTTATCTCGTTCGCGTTTTGTGTTTTTGGTTTCGTTTCGTGCGCACCTAAAACGTCCAGGGATGCCGGTCACGGAAGACACGATCCAGTTCGTGGTACGCGGTGATGGCAGGGTTACCGGAGAAGCTTTCGTGTCTTTCAGCTCTCCTGCGGAATCGGAGGTGCGGTTGTGGTGTGCGATATCATCCAAACGATGGCACGACGAAGCGTACGAGTGACACATTTGCTTTATCCTCGTAAGCATGTATGCGAGAGAAAGGGAAAACAAATTATAGGAGCCGCCGGTCTGTGTTATACATTCAGATCCACTTCTTCAGCTCTTTCCGCCGAAAGGCGTGTTGGTCTGTCTCCGCTCTCTCTTGCGGAAATGTAGATGTACGTCCTGTGTCCTACTCACCTGTCTATCTATTGGTGAAGTCTGTTGGAGTTTTTCGGTCGTCTTTGTTTCGCTTTGTGTGTTTGGCATCGCCTTTGTTTCACCTCTCTCTCTCTCTCTCTCTCTCTCTCTCTCTCTCTCCCCCTCCCTCTCTCTCTCTCTCTCCCCCTCCCTCTCTCTCCCTCTCTCTCTCACACACACACAAACAAGTGATGTGTGACCAATTGCTGTACTCGGTACTCGCACCATGCCTTGCGCGTGTTTCGTGTCCTTTTAATAGGATATCCCGTCTTGGATTAGAACTGCTGCCACGCACACCGTATCTTGCTCTCGACATTGGTGCTCACGAGGGTGTCCCACGCCCATGACTTGCTTGCCGTTTTTTTTGTTCTCATCCTCGAATACCGTGCTGTTCAATTCGGCGATGCTTGTGTGGTTGCCGGCATTCACTCTGATCCTGGCCTCCAATCGATTGCGTGAAAAAAGGCCGCCATGTCTAGGAACGGGAACCACATGGGCACCCGCTACGTGGAGCTGTTCGCTTCCACCCCGGAGGAGATCGTGCGGCACATGAACAGGACCTAAGAGGTGCAGTATCGAAAGTGAAATTCATGCAAGGAAGAGAGATGCTGGTGCAAGTTTCTTCCGTCCTTGAGTTTGTCATGCTTGGACAGCACACTCTCTTATTCATGCCGTTTTGTCCGAGAGAAATGGATGAGCTTGTTGGTTGTATCTATCCCTCAAGTACTGCTGTCGGGCATGTGGGTGATTTGGTGTGTCCACAGTCTCGATTGGGCGCCGTGTTTTTGTGTTTGCTGTCTGTCTGTCTGTCCGCTTTCGACCGAACGGAGGCGCGTTTTGTTGTGTTGTGTTGTGTTACGTCGTGTCGTGTCGGGGGCACTCGAGGAACGATCCTTACCCGTGTCGGAGGGCAAGGCACCGCCCTCTTTTTAGTCCAAGCTCAGCATGCCGGCAGCCTCAGCACGCCCCGCCTCGGGGGTACACGCTGACAATTGGTGTGAAAGCGCTCACGGTGAATTTGATCAATTTCGCACTCCACGCTCCCATACAACGCCACAACGCCGCTTTTTCAAAAGCAACCTAAGACACTGGTGCATGTAGAAGTATATTCGTTGTAGTCTAAGATCGATGGTCCGCCTCAAAGAGGATGCGGATGGTCAACCCGCAAATGGTCAACCCGCAAGCGATGGCTGGGTTAACCAAATCCCCCCCCCCTCCCGGTGTTTGCCATCGGGGTTGGGTTTTCGTCGCTTGGCAACGAACGTTGTAAAGCAAGCCAATGCACTTCGTGAACTCGGCAACCAGGTTACCGTTTTTTTCACCTTTGGTTTTTTTTTGGCGGTGACCATATTGGTAGTCGAGTAGATCATGTTGTGCGGGGTCGAGAAGCCTCACTCCGCGCAAGGGGGATGATCGCACCACGTTGTGTTAAAATGGTCAAGCATCCTCGAGGCAGTTACACAGTGCTTACAACTGTCTCTGGAAGTGAAAGCACCAGAAAATAAATTAAGTCATACGCAGCTGTCATTCGTATGCAAGGAAGTAAGCACAAGATGCCGAACAGCCTCAGCAGGATGCAGCTCACCCTTCATGCGACTCGCCGAATACCTCACGGCGCTTCGCGCTTGGTGATGTGAGAGCCTGGTCCGGTCAGACCCCGGCGTGCTCCGTCCCGGCTTTGTAGGGATGCGAGGTCAATGGTCTAACGACTACGGCATGCACGACTATGAGTACACCCCCCCCCCCCCTCCTCTGGCATTTCGCTCCGTGATGGCATTGTAGGGATGCGAGGTCAATTGTGTAATGACTACGGCATGCGTTTACATTAGTACACCCCCCCTCTGTGTCGACTCTTTCTCATCCCCCGCCCCCCTTTCGCCAACCCACGATCACAATCCCTCCGCCGCAGGCTCCTTGATGCCTCGGCGGCACATTGGGACGTAGACGATTGTGCTTGCCTTCGGACATGATGCTTGGGCACGGCGCGGCATCGAGAACACTGCACAGCAGTGAGAGTTCTCTTGGGGCCGGGAAGGCTGACAAACTTGCCGTACTGGTACGTACGTATATATCTGCTTTTTTTCAGTCATTTAATGAAGTCTGCCAAAGGTCTGAGAGCTCTGGGGAAGCTTGTAGTTGGGAAGATACCAAGCAGGGGCGGGGGGGGACCAAGGCTGGGCGGGGGGATTGGGGGTAACGTAGGTTTTAGATGGTGATGAATTCTGGTCGGTAGATTTGGTAGAATGTTGGACGTCGGGGGGGGGGGGGGGGGGGCGGGGGAGTTTACTTTTGGTTGGGGGGCTGAAGGGTAAAAAAAAAAAGAAGGGAACCGCCCCAGAAGGAATGGTTTTGATACTTTT